ACTGCTTATTGTATGTCTTTTCTTTTCATCTGGTAATTATGTTGTGACATCGGGACGATGTTCTTTGGGAAGGGGGGTAATGCCACTAGTACAAGTTCTGAAAGTATTATTTCCATAGATGCTGGCAGGCTTGTATGTGGCGCTGTTCAGAAGAGGACAAAAATGCGCATGCAGAGAAAAACGATAAAATCGTATTGCAGTTCTTCGAATCAGTTTGACGTCCATGTGTCCCATTATATACAGATTACAGTTACGTTGAAACGTGACAATATTTACATGAGGAGCACGCGATAAAGCGAACTAAAAGAAAACAATGGCAGATTCCACGCGCAGTGGGAATCGGTGATATTCGAAGCGCGTATGAGGAAGAATGATAGGTCACTTTAAAATCAGCACAACGGTAAGAGGCGGAGGCAAATTATGCCGTGCAAGACTTCCATGTTGTTATTATCATGTTCGGACGTTTCATTTAATTTAGTCATCTAGTAATGTCACCTGAAATCAACTTTGGCGTATACAAAGCTAGGAAAATGGCCACGAGCATGCTATGAGCGTAGCATGTAGTCATGATTTACATGAAATTCAGATCGTGAATATTATATTTGGACGTGTCATTCATATTCATTCTGTATTCACGTCACGTAATACCAAATTCGGTATGTGCAGAACTACAGAAACGGCCGAGAGAATGCTATGAGCGTAGCATGTAGTCATCTTTTACATATAACGCATATTATGATTATGAGATTTTGGCGTATCATTGACCTTCGTCATCCATTCATTTCCCGTGATACCAAATTTGGTACATGTGGAGCTAGCGCAACGGCGGCGAGTGCGCTATGAAGGGCCCAATATATTCCGGCGCAACGTCGACGCACGCGCAGGCTGGGTGCAGCGACTCCACGCTAGCAAAACACAACCGCTCTATAGTGTGACGCCAGGTGCAACTGGTGAAACCAGCGTTCATCAGCGTGACCATGTGCCATCCGGCGCCAAATGCGACATGCTCCATTTCGCGCCGACGACGTTACTTAGACAGCACCACTTTTGCCTCTCTTCGTGACGGAGTGCCACCGTGGGCTCTCAAACACGCATGCGTCAAAGCAACTCAACGCGGTGTGTGCCTGCGAGTATATGGAATATAAATTCACAATCAAGGTCAGTGTGCAGATCCACTGGTCTCTACTAGGAGGATATCGGCGCCTGGCAGGGCATCGCCAGCCTGACGCGATGAAAGGAACGCCAGCGTGCGCGTGCGCCGGCGAACGTCGAAGTGTATTGGCACCTTGAGTGGGGCGCGCATTCATGGTCTTACATGACACGCATCTCATGATTAGTATGTTTGCCCCAGTCACATACCTTCGTCATGCATTCACGTGACTTATTAGGAAATTTCGGCACATCTGAAAACAGCGAAACGGCCGTGAGCGCATCGTGAGTGTGGGACCTATACATGTTGTTACATGACACGGATGTCATGATCATCACGTTTGTACGTGTCATTTACTTATGTCGCACGTTCGCGTCACGAAATTTGGTACAAGTGAACCTAGCAACCAGCCGTGAGCGCATCATGAGCTAAGCATGTAGTCTTGTTTTTACATGACACGCATCTGATGATTATCATGCTTGCACATGTTACAGAACTTCGTGATCCACTCAGGTCCCGTACTACCAAATTTGCTTCATGAGAAGCTAGCGAAACGGCCGCGAGCGCGTCATGAGCATGGCATGTAGGCATGTTGTTACGTGGCACGCATCTCATGATTATCATGTTTGCAACCATCGCATACCTACGTTATTCATTCACGTCCCGTAATACCGAATTCACTGTATGACACGTCATTCAATGAAAGCGACCACAAACCTCCCATTTTTAGAAGCGATGAAAATCGCCTTCTGTGGCTGAAGGTTGAATTTATTTCATATGTGGAAAAAATACAGAAGAGTTTCTATCGGATCAGTGAGTGCACACCTCACCAACAAGACGTACGAAGCTTTGTTTTTATAATAAGGTAGACGGTGGAAACAACAGAAGACCTTCTGGAGCAAGTTGTCAATTATGTCCTGACAGAGAAATCGAACAGTGACCCCATCGAAGCAATTTTCCGAAGGGTGCGGTCAATGAGAGGCGGGAATGACATGCTGGATGCTAGAGCCAACATCATGCTCTGGACCACATGGATAAGTTTCACATCCAAAGACCGAAAGAAAGCATTTTATCAAATGTGGAAGTTGAGGAAGAGGCTGCGATGATATCGAAAATACTAGATAAGGACTTTGCGTATTTGTTGGACTACGAGGTTTGTCCGTCTCCATCTGTCACCTACTCCGGCTTAGCATACCTCGGCGAATATATCGCCAAGCTTATTACAGGCCTCGGATGCAACCCTTGTGTTGCGCTGCTGACGACCAGCAAACAGCATCAGCTGTACAAGCTGCTGCGAGCACAATAAAAGGCGAGCTACGCTGCCCGAGGGCTGAGTTTCTAGCAATATCGGACAAGATAGTCATCCTTTTGATAAGGCCTCTGAACACCTGCCACGCAGAGATGTGCTGGAAATTTTGGAAACAGCAGTCCAGCCCTACTTGCAACACGCTCCTATCTTAAGTTGCCCTGAAAGCGTTGACGATAGCTACTCCCTGCGATCCGCAGATTTCATTGGCGAAATATTCTCAAGAATTGTCCTTGTCAACCACAAAAATCATCTGACTGACGCAAACGACAAGCCTTCCACCTACAGACACAAGCCGACTAGGAAGCCTTTTAGGCCGTGAACAAGACATTTGTGAAGTCCAGCAAAGTTTTTCACTTGAAAGTGTTCAACTATTACCAGTGTTTATGAGCAACAAATATTTATTTTCAGAACTCAGATTTTCTACTCGTTTTATGATGGAAAACTATACTTCGGGCTGTTACATTTACACATATTTCAATAAAATAAAGCTCGATGTGTCTAGCGCAAACGAGAAGTCGAAACAAACCTTTTCTATGCCTTCAACAATTAGATAACTTTTTTTCAACGCGCGGTGAGTGGAGAAGCGCACCCGAACTTAAGTGTTCGCGCGCTGTACAGAGCGGCGAAAGATGGCAGGGTTGCAGCGCCCCTCTCAAAGGAGTGGCGAGAGGCACGTACTACACCCATTGCGAAGGCCGTAGGAAGAGAGCAGGCGGGTGTAGTCCAGCGCGACCGTGCCATGAACTGCTTTCCGCAACGAAAAACCACCCGACGTAGCCGACGCACGACAACCAGTTCGATGCTGTTTTTACACCACGCGAAGGCTAATTCGATTTTTGTTCTACGGTTTTGGTTGCGCTCATTGATTGATTGATATTTGGGGTTTAACGTTCAAAACCACCATATGATTCTGAGAGACTCCGTAGTGGAAGGATGCGGAAATTTCGACCACCTGGGGTTCTTTAACGTGCACCCGAATCTGAGCACACGGGCCTACAACATTGGTTGCGCTGGTTCAAACCACGTGATCTAACCAGTCGGCTGCAGATTCAACATGGCGGCAACGGTGTCGCTAGTGGATCGCATCGGCTCAAATCGCAAACTTCCCGTGCAACACGCCGATACTTGACAGCCTCATCGAGGAAACGTTCAGCGAGAGGCTGGTTTAGATCGTGATTGCTGAGAACTCCGGAATCAGGTGGCGCTGCAGCAGCGAGTCGGCATTCCCTAGTGTGCCTCGCCTTTGTGTACAACCAGTTGAACCCGCTGCCGCTACTGCCGTTGTATTCGCTCGTGTATTTTCTGCTGGCTTATCTTCTAAAACGATGCTCAAAAAGCTGCGAGCTGTTGCCTTTCACTACTTTGCTTGAATAACTAGAATTCAGTACAAAATTTAGTGCTAAGAAAGCAAGTGAAATCGAATTATTTCTCAAAGTAACGATGGCAGTGGTGGCGTGATGGGGCAGGACGAATGTGAATATTGTTGATGAGCGCGAGTGCAGTTTCCGGCCGCTCTGGAGTTTTCTTTTTCACTTCACTTCTCAAGTGTGAACGCGCTCTTAGGGTGCACTGCGATATGTGTGCACATGTGCGTGTGCGCAGGCTTGTCACGCGGTAGTATCTTTGTACTTGATTTGACTTTTGGGGTTTAAGGTCAAAAAACCACCATATGGTTATGAGAAGCGCCGTAGTGGAAGGTTCCAGAAATTTCTACCACCTGGGGTTCTTTTCCGTGTACCCAAATCTGAGCACACGGGCCTACAGCATTTTCGCCTCCATTGAAAATGCAGCCGCCGTGATTCGATCCCACGACCTGCGGGTCAGAAGCGAGTACTTTAGCCACTAGACCACCTCACTGAGGCAGTTTCTTTGTACTTCACTGGCATCTGTAGTAACCAGAAAAAAGGTATACCCAATAAGATGATGTTAGAAACTGTCCAGTCGGACATTTTTCAAGCTCAAAAACATGCTTCGAATTTGAAAGTTTTGAACATCTTAGTTGCTTTCAAATTAGTAATTAGGAATGAACAAAATTGTGTCACTCGCTCCATGCAGCATTCGTCAATATGCAATTAGAAGCACCGTCTTGAAGAACATCGGCATACTTTTTTCACATTTCGATAAGGATAGCTGGGCCATCCTGTACATTTCTGTGCTCAATACTTATAATTCATTATGACCGGGCTTCCCCAACAAACGAAACTGTCTCCACCATTGCCGCTCGTATCATCGCGATATTTGGAAACCAGGCATTTGTTTCAGAATGCTTGGGTTAGATATTCTCCAGAGCACGAGAAACTTAGCTTATTTTTGTGCGAACACAAGCACGGTGACAAAACTGAAAGAGCCAGCGCATTCCCCAGGCGAGCGGATTATCATCAAACAACGACTCTGATCACCGCCGCTGTCAAATAGTCATGTGCATTGATTGTATTTTGTTTTTCACTTCGTGCGCTTGTAGTCACTAAATATCAAATTGCGCTTTGAGCAGCCCGAATGTCATCTCCACCACTGAGACAACGTGAGTATGTATATTCTTACCTACTGGGTCTCTTCGTTCCTCCAAGCGTGTGGTGGCATAAGTCACCAAAAAACTGGCTGACAGCAGCACGATCAGAACACTACCCATAAAACACAATATTTGTATGAAATATTCTATTCAAGTTCTCAGAATCACATGCAGCGGCTCACTATATTTGCCTATGAGTTCTTACACTTGGCAGCGAAAACGAAGCTTAATAAATCAGCAGCTGCATTGACGTAATACGTGCATTGGTAGTTGAAAATGCGTCAGCGCAAACCGCTCTTTAGCAATCAGAGTTTCTAAATACGACATATAGTTACACCGCTGTAGTATTACTGTGTACACCGTCAAAAGGTCAGCTAGTACAAGGGCAGTGAGCAAGATTCTGAGCCTATGGGGCGACGAACTCTGTAGGAGTATACGCAGTGAACATTACCAGCAAATGATATTTTCGCGGAGGGAACGACACGGCAGGTGTTATTGCGTGGCACGATTTACGAGATAGTTCTGCAACGTAAGCATTGCGAGGAAAGACGCTGCCGCTGAACTTGTTTTCCCAGCGCCTCAGCTTCGTACACTGCGGGCTCACGGGTCTCCTAAGAATAATAGGGGATATTTTGCGTAGTTTAACTCTTCACTTAGGTGTCTTGAATCGTGCTGGACAAGAGCGTTTGGTGCACAGAAAATAAGGAAGAAGGTTCTTCAACGGCTGTAACAAGCGAGCGACGCGAGAAGCGTGTGTAACAAGCCATGCGGCACTGACATTACTCCAAAATCAGTGACGTCAACAAGGCGTGAATTAGGGGGTCACTCTCACCTTTCGTTCATGTAATTTGAGGTCTACATCACCAGCGAGCTGGGTTTTAGGTGTTGGCGATGTGCGAACAGTCCTAAATTTCTTCTTTCTTGCATTATTACCAACCAATCCAGGGTCTTCCTGCTATAAGATAAACTTCTAATTCATGTTGAGTAACTCATAAACGTTTAGTACGTAGCGCCACACTTATATTATTTATACCCAGCAAACGTACTTTCCACATTTTGAGATAAGGATAAATATTATTTTCGTGTCTGTGGTCTCCACTGCAACCTGTAACTTTTGCGATAATTTTGTTATTTTTGTATTAACACTATGATAAGTTTCTGTAATAAAGCTATGCTTACATACCAGCCTCTCAAAGCAATTGTTTCAACTTTGTTATGCAACTTTCATTTTTTGTCTCTTTACTTTTGGAATTGATGAGAAGCCCTACTGAGTAATGAATCAGCCTGGCCCGCTAAAAACATAATAATCTGAGTGAGAACGTAACCAAGTGCATTACGTTGCTGACATAACAATAATACACGGCCAACTGCAGCGAAGTATTTCAGCAGTGTCATTGGCATTTTCTCAGCAAGTATAAAGATTCATTGAAAGCATGCCATTTCTGTTATTCATGTTATTCTGTTATTCATGTTATTCACGCAGTCTTGCTCTCTTATAGCAATGCAAGAGCAATGTGGTCCACCAAGACTCACTATTTATTGCACTTTATACAGTCAATCAAGACACAGGCTCAAATAAAACAAAAGCAGGCGACGTGAAGCGACGTCGGCATCGTGGTTGTCCCTCCCCGGAACTCATCACTACTTTCGATTTCAGAGAACATGTGCGCTCATGCCCGTTACCGGGCATTCTAAAATCTGTTTGAAAGAATTTAGGTTAACGTGCAGGTTCGCAATTATTTTTGTTCACCAGTTTCCAAGAATGAATAAATATAATTGAATTAAAAAGAAACGGTGTTTTTGTTTTTTTATTATTCCCTATTCTTTGAATTTTTATTCGAGTGAAGTGCGGAAACCGTTGTGTTTAGGACTTACATGTACTCCCCTTTGAACTTTCTTGGCGATATCACACGTTGGTTCATACTCGGTTGTCTCACTTGGTTAGCGTTTGAAGTATGAAAATGGCAACGATCATGTGACGCGCAGTGAATGGAAACAGCAATAGGCCTTGTGAATCAGGTCAACCTTGTATTAAACGAACATGGCTAAAGCGTTCTTTCACATGTTTTGCGCTGAAGCGTGTTAACTTGGGGATTTCCAGCACTGCGAAGCTCTTCGAGGTTTCCAAGAGTTTGGTTCCTTTGTACTTGGAGCACAAGTATTTGGTTCCGTTGATTGAGCAGGGGTGTTGATTTTTACTGAGTGCATATTCAACGCCGTTCACTGCAAGCATGACAAGACCTAACGTAAGCCTAGTGTCGCTAGACTAATTTGTGTAGATAAGAGCATACCTGCTGCTCACAAAATGTTTCATTCAAGTCTTGACTGCGCATTGATTGCGCTCCTGAGTTTGTGTATGTTTTTTTTACTTTGAAGACGCAGTTGACATGACGTGAAGCATCCTTACTGCTCATCGATCGGTACATCGCCAGTTAGAAACATTGTAGGCCTCTGCTTTTAATACTGTCAAAGAACTGCATGTAATGTACTCATTAATGCTTTGAGAAATACATGCTTTGAGTACAGGAAATCTGGCGGGAGTCTACATTTAAAAAAAGTGGACCGTTCTTCCCTAAGAGAATACCTCGATGAAAACAACTCAACTAACCGATACATTTCCAGTAGCATTCGATGTTCAACCGCTTCTCGTCGCTTCGTTTGTCTACCTTCTTCTGAACATCTTTCTTGTTTGGTAATCGAGATCGGAAAGAAATCATGTTAGCTGTGATAAGAGACGTGGTTCTGTCAAGTACGATGCAGTCTCCTGGTGAATGCTAAGAATTTTTGCATGGGTTCGGTTATTCATGAATATTCTTGGGCTCAATATGTGCTTATTTTAAGTTATAAAACACAGCTGCTCTTGCAGATTTCGCAGATAGTTTAATTGAATGAATGTCAGCGTTGCCCGAGCGGCTAGAAGACGTAAAGGAGAGCACGAAAACTTTCCGCTTGCATGGGGAGAAGGAAAACAGAGCTTTCGCGGCAAACTTTCTCCCCATGGTTCGCACTCTTATATTGCTGACGTCACGAGTGATGTCATAAAAGAAATATTTGTTCGGGACTTATTTCCGGTGGGACACCAAGCAGGGGGGCATCAATGGTGAAACCGGTACTGCGCAGCGTATCCCCATGCGAATACGTGTCCAATGAAATGTATAGAGAGTTTCCTCTTTCTAACCAAGTAGCACTGTGTGCCTCAGCTACGCTTTGATGGAAGGCTACGCCGGATGCAGTGGCCTTTCGCGTGGTGCCACCACACCAAGTCGTACTTTAGCTAAGAGTGGACGAGTCGAAAAATTAGTGAACCTCCCGATATCACTAAAAATATGAAGAGTGATCAACGCGAAATAAATTCAGCTAACTTAAACTAAATTTTTAAAATCATGAATTATGGTTGACGAGCGAGCTTTCAGGCGTTAGTACGGGGCTTTCTACACTGTGAAAGCCGCCTACATATGTCGAAGAAAAAGAAAGCTTTTTAAAGATAAATATTGACTCGCCCTTGTTGGCATGCTTTGTTCGCAGTAATGAGGAACTAATGCATCCCTCTCTTCTTTATCATGTGATGATATCCCGACTACTAATGATAGACAGCTTGTTTCATTACCGAATGTACACATTTCGCTCGCAGAATAATTTTGACCGCTGCTTTAGCGGTCGTACATTAGTCATGCATAAGCATACTTCTTTTCATCGCCTGCGTTAGTCATGTAAGAGAAACATTAATAGCACAGCCTTAAACGGGATTTCATTAGAAATGTATTTAAACGTTTTATGCAGAGGTTATCTTCTATGACGTTAATAATATGAGCATTCCATATTACGTCAAGACTTCATGTATGCCTAACTAGATGTAGGTCTTCCGTGCTCCCTTTTTGATCGATTGTATGGCTTTTAGTTTCAGTTTCAATAAAATCATACGCATTGCACTGCCACAAGCTGGGCCTTATGATCGTTAAATGGTATCTGTCGTTCATGAGTCGGCAAAAATAGAAGACACTCCCACAATCAGCGAAAAACTAATTAGAGCTACAAGTCTAGCATTATGAAAGTTAAATGCACATTGGCTATACTGCGCAGATAGCCACCTACATGGACGTATCAAATTGATGTATCAAAAAACAGTTCATTCACGTAGCTATTGCTTGCATGATACAAGTAATGTTTACATACATTATATATTTATGGAAGTTTCAGTCAACCGTTTCATGAGTCTTTTTTATGGAAATAACATGGTAGTGCGCCAACCTTGTGGTACTAACGCACTGAGTATAGTGGGCATCGACAGCAGCGGCGAGTTGACGCTTCTAAATATATTAACCTAGCTTCGCGTGAGTTTCACGTACAAAAATCAAAACATTTACATGTGCAACGACGACACATCACACAAACAATCAGGCAAAATGCTGCCGGCTCTAGAAGCTTTCTCATCTTCTGTTATACACATGGCCCTTCAAAGTGCCAGGAAGTGCAATAAATGAGAGTTGCATTATCGTTAAATCTGCTCTCCCACCTTGCGCTACGAATTTAATGCACTACGTGAACTAAATATCGCCATATCTTTTGATTTCGACGTGGCATCATGAAATTCTAAGGCATCTGGATTTGAAAAATCTGCTGATCTTTATTGTGCACTCACATCGCCTGTATGTACACGGGCCTCTACTTTTTCACCTCCATCGAAATACGACCACTGCTGCCAGGCGTCGAATCCGCAACCTTCAGATCTTCCGGCGAAAACCGTAACCACTGACCACCGAGGCTGACAGTTTATTGCCCTACAATCAATCACACAGCCTCAAATAATACAACGGAATAACTTTGAAAATGTAATGTTTTGCACTTTGTGATCACAAACAAAACTTTTTGGGTATTCAGGGTTGCTTTACAAGGCGTGTAAGAACTGAATGAGCGAATATCAAAAGCTCTACATAAAGCACAGATACACCATGGCTACATCGTCTGGCATGAAGTGAACATACGTACGCATGTAATGTCACAACCAGTAATTAGCCAAGGCTGGTGCGCTCTGCACCCAGACCAGCTGGAGCCAGGAGACGAAACATGGAGAATAAAATTGAGAGAAGAGAAAAGAAAACTGATAGAATGAGTCCTGCCCACTCTCA